CTCAAGTCCCAAGGAAGTTTTGACTTGAACTGAATACTCTTGCATCAGTATTAACGCCTGCCCCAGAACCTTTTTAATATATTGAAAAATGGATATGCAGAAATTTCCCTAGCAGGTTCTTAACCTGATTGTGCCAGACAGTCCACATAAGCTCATTTATATAAGAACCAGTGAAGTGAAGTTGTTCATAAAACATTTTATTAACTTCAGTCTTCACGGCATCTTCAGAATTTAGGTAATAAAGCTATGTGGAAGTAACCAGGCTTCACCTTTTCACAGAACAATAATTCACATAGGTTTAAGGCACATTTTTTGTGGTGTAATTTTGAAGGCCCAAGAAGCATGTGTTGTGGCCAGACTCCGCTTTGTGGCAATGCATTCATATTGTTCCTGTTGTTCTGAGGTGAACGGAACAGGGGGCCGGAGGAGGATATAAGTCTATGTAGTGCTTATATTTTAAATACAAGTTGTTATAATAAACTGAATCGTTAAAGAGCAGTGTGATCTTCTAATTAAATTTAGGTCTTATCTACACTGTGTTGCATTGTGGACTATGTGAAGGAGGGGGAAATTGCAGAGTGTACCACAATTTGCCCTCTTACTGCCTTGTGTGGGCCCTGCTGGTGTGAACTAAAAGGTACCTAGTTTCTGTTAACATAGTCCTGTTTGAAGGAAGATGATGTTAACGCAAACTAGGTAGCTTTTAGTTCATGCCAGCAGTAACCACAGAGGGCAGAGTGCAACATTTTGGTGAGCTCTGAAATTCACACCCCCTATGTAGCATCATGGTGCAATTTAGACACAGCCTTACCCTTGCTTAGAATCTTAGAACACTTTGGTGTAGATTTTAATGTTTTTTCTACATGCTTATTTATAAAAAATAAACTGCTGGTATTGTGCATGTGGCTTTTCATGTGTGAGTAGATGAAGCCACATCACGTTGGTTCTTGGTTTGTTCAAGTTGTAAAGCAGTGGGTACGGTTAGAGAACGATGCACTGGTTGATTGTTTTTGAGCATTGCACAGGTGAATATGCAGAAATGAAAAGCTTTACTGGGGAAGCTGATGGAGGAAGTAGGCTCTGTAAGTCAAAGAACCCAGTAGTGCCCATAGCTGTATACACCATATGTGTGGTGGATACCATTGGCAAGGGCAGCATCACCTGGGGAGTGGGGAAACGGGCAGTTTGCCTTTGGCCCCTGTTTGAGAAGCCCCCCAAACTGAGTGGCTGAAATTTGGCCCAGTAGCCCTTCCACCATGGTGGAGAGGCCATTGTGCTAAACCTGAGTGGCGCTGCAATGCCGTACACCAAGTCATAATGCCACTCACTGAAATTTGTCCTCTCGACGGAGGGGCAGCCGGGCCAGACCTTGGTGGCTCCATGTGAAGTTAAACTAGCGGTTCAGTTGTGCGTACTATGGGAAAAATTTCTGGGGGAGCCCCTGGTAGAACCTCCAGGTTTTCAATTAAAAACAAACGAACCAAATGTTAGGAAATTAAATGAGGAAGGGCGTGCCAGGGGGAGGGAAACCCTGTGTCGTTGCAACATTACAGTTTGCACTGTGAACATTACAAAAAGTCAAGTAAATGCTAACATGCCTACCGTGTAGATGTGTGGTATTTGCTATTATTTTTTCCTAAGGACCAAATTCTGTCTCCGCTAGTGGGATGCGGTGGAGGGCCCTTGACTCCCTGACTACTGGGAAACTGGTAGTTATAATACAGCTGCTTATACTTGTAAACTCATGAGGGGGCTGCTACTACTGCCAACAATCCTAAATGCCCCAGAAGGGGCAAGTTGGAGCGGTGGGCAATAGCCATGGTCCTGCCCCAATCCTGTATGTCAGTTTGCAGCTGAAGGGCAGTGCTGGGGGGAGCATACATTAATGGCCACCATATTACCCAGTTCACTCACCCCCTCTTCCTCCCCACCCCCGCCCCTTGTGCCTATGGAAGTATGTCTGCTTCTGGCCCCCACAAGCATAATGCTACTAGCACCTGCTGCTTGGGCAATCCCAGCTCTCCAAGACAAACCTCTCAGAGCAAGGTTTTTGCTTCTCAGAGCTATATATGAACTCTGTATCTGTGACTTTAATCTATTGTTTCACTAAATGAATCCTATAAAATAGATGGGATATGCAGCATGGTGAATTAATATTGCTGTTAAAACCTGAACTTTTGCATTTCCTGACTTCTTATGAGTCTCTTGTTACTGTACAAGCTTAATACTGCATTAACAAACTTTTTTGTGTGTAGCAAATTACAGTAATTCAAGTGTTAATTTTTCATGCAACAAATGAGAATATAGTTCAGTGAAATCCTAAACAGCTGTAATCAGATAATTAATATCTTGTTAATCCAGTATTTGGACTCTTGAACTCTTAGAGATGTGACCTTATTTGAGCATTTAGCTATGTTTCAATTCTAGGATTTGTAGTCCTATAGATTTATTTTTTTCCCCTCCATGAAATTTGTGAGTTTCTTCAAAGCAGATTGTGAAAGCATTTCATCAGCCGGTGTGTCTATATAGGTACTTATAGCCTCCTCATCAATATTGTATCAACATTGTATCATTCCCAATTGAACGTGTATGGAGTAGAATCTTGTTAATTCCTACAAAGTAAGGTGCTCTTTCCCCACGTTTAGTAAAGATTTAATAGAGTGGAAGAGTAATATCTCATATTAAGGCTTGCGTCTTAGAAAATTATACAGCAGTAAATGAACTAGCTTAGTAAGAAGTATCATCATAGCTAAAACTAAGCTACATTTGTCTAAATGAATGAACAGAGAACACTTTGTGATATATTATACCTTTTTTGTTTGATTGCTTACTTGGTACTTCACAATGAATGTCCCTAGTATTGTGTGAATGAACAAGGTTTTATCTTCTAATGCAGGGATTCCTAACCACTGTCACAATGTGAACCATATTTAAAAAGGGAAAAAGTCTCACGGACTTCTCTCCAATCTTTCATGCTCATGCAAACCATCACCCCTGCCAGTTGTGAACGCACAATATCCTTTCGACAATGCCAGCCATTGCTGATGTGTAGAAGTAATGTTAGGGAAGCAAGTCATGTTTTCAGCTCTCTTTTAATTAAATTGAGCAGCTAGAAGCAAGAAGAGGCATCATCACGTGCACAGCAAGCTTCAAGGTAGCCAGTGGCCCATGGAGCAGAGTTTGGGGCCCTCAGGTGTAATGCATTCGCACTGTATTAATTTCATTGGGTGTGACTCTCAGACTGTATAATTTTCATGTTTGAAATACAGAACTATGTATATTGCACTGGCAAGAACAAGAATAGATATGCCCCAACTATGTGTGTACCCCAAAGCCCATTAGGGTATACATTCCACTCACCCACATAGATAGGGAACAGCGGTGGGTAGATAGTGGGGTAAAGTCCTGTTGTATGAGGGTGGGGCTGTTGGAAGTGGAGTGAATTAAGAGAGACATAAAAAATTGATAAAGATAGGATTGTCTGTTTTTATATTCTGCCACATAACATGGGTTTAAATGAATTTGCTTATAATTTGTCTTCGGATACTGACATTTAACTCTTAGGCCGTATAAATGTACTGGCTTTTTCTACAGTAAAATTCATGCCCTGCGTCCAGGCTAATATGTTCACCTACTATAAACATTACTGCCTATGGTTACAGCCGGAATAAAAAATTCCTTTTATATACATCATAGCTGGCAGAGACTCCTGAGACCACCACAAATCACTTCAGCCTTTTGGTGCTCTCTGACAAAATGCACAAAAACGTAAAACCGCTCAGGCTTCAGACAGATTGACTAGAAAAAGCAATTAGCTTATTTAGACCATTGTTTGTACCCGCCTTTATCACAAGATGCTGAGCAAAGGTGTTTTAGAAGCTCTCCTTATTACTTTAGCATTAGATCTTAATCACCTCCCTTCTGCTCTGTCCCCAAAAAGCTTTGCTCATCCCATTTTTGGCTCTTTTTTTTTTTTTTAAAGGATCGTAATGGGGAATAACAAAGCGGCGAGTTATTTATGCAGCCATGATTGGCAAAAATGATTGCAACATGAATTTGCCCAGAAGCGATGATTAGATCATAAAAATGTTAAGGAAATCTGTAACTCAACACCATTTTATATATTTGAAGAAGTTTTTGTTCCCTACCTTAATTGTAATGACTTGTTTTTAAAGTATTTATTCAGAGTAATCTTTTTGGACATTGAGCCCTTAGCTGAGCCGCATGCATAATTGAAATCGGGGAGGGGTGGAATGAGGGGGGAGCATAAATGGTTTACCATGCTAAATGAGCAAGGGAGGGAATTACACAATGACAGGTGAAGAGCAGATTTATCTCCTTTTGGAATTTCAGTCCTGCAAGCAAGGCAGGACACTATAGCTAATACCCTTGCAAATACCACAGTTTGCTGCTTCTCCAGATAACAATCCAAAAATCATTGCTGGTCTCTGAAAGGCCTGTAGTCCTGCAACTGTGGTGGTGTTTATGATCCATCAGTAGTTCAAATTGAGTATGTGGGCACCAAATCCATAGCTGTACTTAAAAAGTGGAATATTTACCCAGTTGGCTATTGATAATTAAACTATTAGCACTATCCTCCTTAGTTGAATACAAATAGGACCACATATGCAAAGAGGGCTGTAACTGTGCTAACTGAAATATCATAACCTACCTCCTGTACTCAGCCCCTTCAAGTGTTTGTAAACTTGGAGAAGGTCCTTTGTCTCTGTCTTATGGGTGGGGGATAAGATTGCACTTGTGCTTGGTCTTTTCATTTCTCTTTAGGCACATCCATAGTAACCATCCATCTCCACCCTCCCTTCCCCCCCACACTCCATGCTCACATGGTGTGTCTTTCTCTGAACTCTGCATTTTATGGCTTCAGTTACCACAGGACAAAAACAGATTTACACAGAATAAATTGGTATTTGTTTGTTTGATTTTTACTTTTCAATACGGAATATTTTTTTTCCCCTTAACTTGCTATCTCACCTCTGCAGCAGCAGTACAGAGAATGCCAGGAACTTCTGAGTCTATATCAGAAGTATCTATCTGAACAGCAAGAAAAGCTAACGGTCTCTCTGTCAGAGCTTGGTGCTGCCAAGATGAAGGAGCAGCAGGTAAGGTCTCTCCCCTCACCATTTCTTTAATGACTACATTGCTGATCCCATTGAAAAACCCTTTCACTTACTGTCAGGGCTGTAACTGTAATGTGTTGTCTTATAGTATATAAACGTTCTTGCACTATTCTGTGATTGGCTTTTCCATGGCCCTTTCCCCTAATACATGGATTAGAGGTAAGAAATTATTACTTAAAGCAACGCTTGGATCAGTAAATCAGGTCAAGTTCATTGATTCTACTGTACTGCAGCGGGAACTGTGAGGAATCCTTTTCTTTGCAGTCTAAGGAGAAAGGTAAGGGGTGCTGTTGCCTTCCTCGAGCCCTTTTGGACAACATGTGCTTCACAGGGAATTTGTTATCATTGTAGAAATAGCCTTTTAAATTTCCAGCATAATTTTCAGTGAGTGAAAAAGAGGTGGAAGCAGGTGAGCTTGGCTGATAAGAACTTTTCCAGTCTATGAGGGAGTCCATCTCATTTTGAACCTTCATGAAACAGCTACTAATTGCACATAAAGTTAAGAGAAAGTATTGCTTGAGATGCTGTATGTCCTACCTAAGTGGTTAAGTGGTCTAAGGTTCCCATATGCTGAAACGGGAAAGTAGCTAAAGACCTTGCTATTAGTGATTTGCTGATAGCTAGTTACTTGATTTATGTACCTGCTGATAGCTGATCCTTTCGCCAAGATGAAGATAATGGCTCTGACCAATGTTGTTCTTATCTACTCTTCTTCAAAAAATTCCCTCTGCAGATCTCCATCCTTGGTGTCTCACATGAGCCTGGAGCTTCTAATAGTGGTATAGCTTTTAGGTCTTGAGCCTTGAAGCATCTGCTAGGGGCTTCTATTATCATAACAGTTATGTGCTGGCAATGAGCTCAGCACTGTAGAAAACCCAGAAGGTGGCACACTGTGCTTCGTGGAGCTTGCATTCTAACAAAACTACACAGACACAGCTAGCTATTGATGAAGTCTATCCTGGTGAGTGGCATTTGGCTTTTCTTTTTAATAAGTGTGTAACAGCACTTAACTTTGTATTTAGAAAGAAGAACTGACTTTCCCCTTCAGTTTCCTGTTATATACAATGTCCTGCTGGTGAGGTTTGGGTTTTATAAATATTGATAGAAATTTTTGTGTTCTGCCACATTTAAAATCTTGTGAATCTTTGACTGGTGTGGAGTTCCTAAGATTAGCAAATCTTGCCTGAGAACTTCTGGTCTTATTATTCTCTCACATACCTGCACTTCACTGGGGAATTTGAAAAAGCCAAGTTGAAGCTCTTTCAGTAGTTCAACACAGACCAGCCTGGCAGTGCCAGCTGTGTTTGTGGTGAGGCCATTACTCATGAGGAGGCGAGTTATGTTTGAGATTTTTTTACCTTGAACCAGTTGAGAGACAGACAAATATCTTTATCTTTTGCTCCTGGGTAATACCTGGTATCAGGTCATCCACCATAGCTTCTATGCCAAAATATAAAGGCAGACACAAGTAAAAAAGCATCACCTCAATAATGGGTGCATCAGCACATATCAGTGCAGCACCTAGTGCTCATTGCCATTTGATGAATAGTTTGGTGCCATGGAGTCATGATTGGGACTGACTCTAGCCCCAGTGTCTGTAATGTGGTGCATTGAGACCTTCCACCTTGCCTGTCCCATTTGCCCTCCTTTCATCCCATTTTAATGGCAGCAACTCTTTCTTTCCTGTTTAAGATGAGGCCTCTTCTTGCTGGCTACTTTCTAACTTTAGCCCTGCTGACACTTTTTGGTCAAACTTCTATGAACCTCAAGGTATTGAGCTCCTCTTCTGTGAACTCCTACTGGTTGCAGTCTCTCTGCAACTATGTCTACTCTACACAGTTAATACAAGTTGTTGGTACCTAGGTCTGAGCACCTTTGGTAGCCTGGCTTGGGTGTGACTATCCCCACTGCAAAGCCGTGTCCTCATTATTTCTGCAATCACCTGTATGTGGGGGGTCAGGGCTGATTTCCCACTCTGGCACTTTGAGTGCGGATGGTGAGGGCCCACAAGTATTCTAAAAATTAATACTGGCCACTCCAGGCTGGTATTAAACTCCCAAGGTCACAGCTTCTCTCTGACCTAGGATGTGTAGATGCTGCCACCACCCAAGTGCACCCCCTCCTCCCCCTTTTGAGAAACTAGGAAAGAGCACTTGGGAATTCCTTCCTGTGGGGTACCCTCAAGCCCTTTCACCCCCTCTTCTGGGGAAGAGCTGAGAAAGAAAACAAAGGAAATCAGCTGTTGCCACCAGCTAATTAAACAACATATGCACAAACCTCCTAGGACACCAAAAATCCAATCCTGTTCTTAAAAAAGTTAAATTTTATTAAAAAGAAAATACATCTGGAATATAGGCTTTTGCTAGATTTTAAAAACTCACTTACAAAAATTAAACGTCAAGAATAACCTTCTTGAGGTCCAGCGTAAAGGTTACAAGCAAAACAAAAGCATTTGGGGTTAGCACAAAGGAGTCCATAAGCCTAAGAAATAAACAAACCTAATCATGTCTTCCTACACATTTTCTGATCTACTTACATATCTGCGTTTCCAAATAAGCAATTTCTAGGTATGATTCTGATGATTTTCATACCTGGCCTTCAGCTTTTCACAGCTTAAGTTTTGAAAATGGAAGTTTTGAAAATGGAAGTTTTCCCAATTTTAAAAAGTTCTAGCCCTCCCATTGGCTCTTTTGGTCAGGTGCCCACTCACTTCCCTTTACCTATGCATGCAGTCAGACTTTTTAACCCTTTACAGGTAAAGGAAGTAGAGAACAGCTACCAAGAGGGATTCTATAGCTAACTGGCTGGCTGGGTGTCCACAAAAGGAAGCCACCCGCCTCTCATTTATCACAGGGGGCATATATAATGGGCCTTTATGCTGAGACACACTTTATGGATGCCGCCAACATATCTTCCAGAGCAAGTGATAATATGGACACGCATGGAAAGAGAAAAAGAAGGTGACCTAGAGAAACATTATGCAGAACAATAGAGAAGCCAGACCCATCAATGTGACACTCAGAAGCCTGTACAGACCAGCACAAGATTGAAATAAATGGCAGAAACTGGTGGATGCACCTGGGGGTCCAGGAGGTTAAAGAAAGAAGACAGGAGGACTCAAGTGTTTTAGCCTGTGTCCTTACTGCAAAGTGTGTTGGTTCCAGGCCAAGTTTAAGCCTTGTTTCCTAACCTAGATCACCAGCCAGGTAAACTAGCCTGTATATTTAAAGCACCTTTAAACCTGGGCTAGAGGTTTTTTATGTAGTCAGAAAGGGGGAGTTAAGGCTAAAACCCATGTAAAAGCCTGGGTTAATTGCCGTGTAGACATATAGCCTAAGTGTTAAAGTTTGGGAGACCATTTAGCTATGTGGACTAAGAAGGCATTGACTAGCATATCTACATAATTTAAATAGTTGACGATCATCTGATTGGTCATGAGCACTTTCCTTACAGTTGCTCAGAACCTGGTAGACAATTCAGCATTGTGATTTACCTATCCTAATCCTCACAGAGGAGCAAGTTCTATTGAGAGAACACCAAAAATGAGGTGACCAGGCACTTTAGACCCTGTTCAGGGGTTGGCAAAGAGAGTTAATGTGCTTTTTCTGACTAGAGCTGCATATTCTAAGTGTCAGGGTAGCAGAGCAAAGTTCTCTGTAGTGAATGCAGTAATTTCCCAGCTGTGTCCGAAAGAGTGAAGTTGGAATTGATAATCAGAAACAGTTCCCACATGGAGGAAGAAGGAAATGACAGAAGAGCTCTTATTTGGTCTGATTTAAAATTACTTTTTACTGCTCTTAAACTCTAGGCCAGAAAAAGCCACCCTTCTCAGTGACGTTTCTGTTGGGGGAGGAGGTTCTGGAACAGCCTTCCAATAGGAGTAGTGGAGGCAAACAACTGAATCAGTTTTAAGATGGAGCTTGATAAATTTGTGAACAGGATTATATGGACTTGTGGACTGGACTTGATCCAGGAGGTTCTTTACTGACCTTTGTTCTTATGTTGGTTAGGCTGAAGAAAGCCTTATAGAATCAGAGAATTGTAGGACTGGCAGGGATCTTGCGAGGTCATCTAGTCCAACCCCCTGCACTCACATCAGGACTAAGTATTATCTAAACCATCTCTGACAGGTGATTGTCTAACCTGCTCTTAAAAATCTCCAATGATGGAGATTCCATAACCAGCCTGGGCAATTTATTCCAGTCCTTAACCACCTTGACAGGTAGGAAGTTTTTCCTAATGTCCAACCTAAATCACCCTTGCTGCAATTTAAGCCCATTGCTTCTCAGAGGTTAACATGAACAGTTTTTCTCCCTCTTCCTTGTAACAACCTTTTATGTACTTGAAAACTGGTATCATGTCCCCCCCTCAGTCTTCTCTTCTCCAGACTAGACGAACCCCACCCATTTTTTTTTCTATCTTCCCTCATAGGTCATGTTTTCTAGATGTTTAATCATTTTTTTTGTTCTTCTCTGGACTCTCTCCAATTTGTTCACATTTTCCCCAAAATGTGGCACCCAGAACTAGACACAGTACTCCAGTTGAGGCCTAATCAGTGTGGAGTAGAGCAGAAGAATTACCTCTTGTATCTTGCTTACAACGCTCCTGCTAATACATCCCAGAATGATGTTTACCTTTTTGTAGCAGTGTTACACTGTTGACTCATATTTAGCTTGTGATCCAAACTCCTTCCTAAGCAGTCATTTCCCATTTTGTATGTGTGTAACTGATTGTTCCTTCCTGAATGGAGTACTTTGCATTTGTCCTTATTGAATTTCCTCCTATTTACTTCAGACCATTTCTCCAGTTTGTCCAGACTCTTTAATTTTAATCTTAATCTTTCCTGAGTTCTGTTTAAATCGCTGACCACGGGGAACTTTTCTGTTTGTTTATTTTGATTGCGGTCAGGAAAGCCTGGATACATCAAATGGACTGTAAGAGCTTCAGCTATTGGCTTGCTACCCAACCATAACCCTCCTGGC